GAAGCAATTCTGTTTTTGACCAAGAGGTAAAAGCAGGCTAGAGCGCACGGGCACAGGGGCTCAGTCTCTTCCCTTTGAATACTTTTCAAGGTTTGGATAATCTGAATAGCTGTTGATGAGAGTCAAAGCAGATGTGAAGTTTATAGTGAAAAAGTAGCCTTTCCTGGCATAATGGGCAGAAATGACAGAAGACGCTGGTGCAGCACTTTCCAAGCTGGGAGTGAGAGTTCTGTGGGATGCACGTGACAGCCACAAGCTCTCAGCCTCCCCTGGCCAACGAAGATTGGGAAACTCTAGGGGAAAGCCGGTTCAATAGATTGCTAATTTGGTTTTTACCTGAAAGGATTCTCAGTCTTTAAAATGTGAGCAATTGATATAAATCTCCCAGAAAGGGAGCTAAGGGTAGCATTCCCTAAATTTATTTAACCATGGTATTTTCTTCAAAAAAAAATTTTTTTTTCCAGGGTCTCAGGGGATTAAGATTTTTGGGAACATACTTAAGGAAATGCTGATATGATAGTTTTGACAGGATTCCTAACCCTCTATGACATTTCATTAAAAAAAATATGAAGTTTTCTCGACTCCACCCCAGAATCTCTAGGAGAAGGGCCATTGCAACTATATGTTTCAAAAGGCCCTGGTGGAGATTCTGCCCTGCAGCCAGAAGAATGGCTTTGGATTCAAGAAGACCTAGGTTCAAGTCCAAGCAGCACAGACATTCTATTAGATTTCATTTGGAAAGTGACTTAATCTGGTTGTCTTAATTTTCCCATCCACAAAATAAAGAATTATACCCACTCACTGGTATGATTTTCAGTCCAGAAGAATGAAATGAAGTAATGAAGTAAAATAATAGCATGTGGCAGGTGTCGTTTCCAATTTGCAATTCTCAGTAGCTCTGACATAAATAAAAATAGTAAAATTATTTGCTTTCTTGATCTCTTTGACACCTATGCTAACAATTTCTGCCCCTTTCCCACAAGAATGAAATAATTTTGAATCCTTTATATCCATGATGTGCCTGTGGTGCACTTTGACTTTCACTGTACTCAGAGTGATGATCTGAAAGAGTGTCCGACCATTAACAAAGATGGTTATGAGTCTTTCGACGATCACACTCATGTCTTCTGGAAAATAGTTCCCTATCTTTCAAATTGCATATAATCTCCATTTTCTGATTTTCTAAGAGATCATCTAAACCAGCCCAAGAAACTGAAATCTGGTTTTAGCGTATAAATGAGATAACGTCATCATGGGCTTAATCCTATGCCCTGAAAAGGTCCAGCATTTGGCCAGCAGCAGGTGTCCACGCTCTTCTGTTGAGGTAGAGTTTTAAAAATATAAACTTCCGTGGTCTTTCTGTTTCTTTAAGGGCAGATGTGATGGGATTTTTATTGGCATTGTAACATTTGGTGTCTTTGTGCTCCCTTTCCTTTACAATAATCCCTTCAGTGTCTTATTCCATTAAATAGACTTAGTTAAACTAGTACTCTGCGTGCGTGTTTGTGTGTGTGTGTGTGTGTGTGTGTGTAATGACAGCTATCCTCCAGGGAGAAACGTATGCACAAAATTGACTCTGGCCCAGAGAAGTGCCTTTGTGTATGAGTGGAATGGTATAGATAATTCCAGTCTTATGAGTGGATATTATTCCAAAGTTCATTTGTTAAATCAGTAGTTGGGAACTTGGAGCACATTTTCTCATAAAAGAAATGTTCTACATGGTGGAGAGAGACCGGGCCAGCCCACAAGGGCCTGTTTAACTCATGCTGCACCTGAAGTGGGATTGTTATTAGCTATGGGGAACAGTGTTTCCATGGGAACATGTTGTCAGAGCTCCCCAGCTTAAAGGTTGAGAACCACTGACTGTAAAATGTTAACTCATCTCCGAAATCTCATCTACCTTTTTCCTTTAATAAATTACCAAGCAGAGGAGCTATTCTTACTGCAAATTATTTCTTGAATATATTAGGTTAAAGTAATATTTTTTTCTCTGCTTGTTTTATGCACTCTGTAACTTGAGCACAAGGGATGCATATAAACAGGGGAAAGAGTTCCTTCAAGCATTCTTGAGCTTCTTGAAACTTGGGTTCTTGTCACTTCTTGGCTCTCTCTGCATGTCGTACCAGTCAGCTACCCACAGAGAGGCAGCTGTCACTCGCTACATTTGTTATCACAGCCAAATTGTCTGTTTTTTCCTACCTTATCATTCCCTGCAGTTTTTAAGACTTGCCTTGTAATTTAATAGGAATCTGGAATCATGAAGTAATGCAATATATTCTAGGTCACACTGACCACAGGAATCAGAAGTGTTTCAACTACACCATACACAGATTATGCTAGAAGTTGTATAAATATATCACAGAATCACAGGGCTGGAAAGAACCTTAAAAGATTGTCTAGTCTGTTCCCTGGCTTCCAGACAAGCCAATCATTCCAAACAGATGAGAGCTAACCTCTCTTTTAGAGGAGGAGGAAGACTTTGTTTTAACCCTTTCTGGATTTAACAATGTATATACCATTAGTAAATCATTGTTATTTTTAAATCTAACATGCTTCTCTTGACAGTTACAACTCTATTTTACTTTCTCATGTTTGCTTCTCATAGGAAACAAAGTAGGTGCAAAGCCCCAGTTCAAACACCATATTTTGTCCTTTCTCTTCTAGGGCATTCCCGAACATCGCGGTGTCTCGTACTGTGGTTCATCCTGTTCTCTGGGTTGTTTGTACCCTTTCGGCAGTGGGCACTAAAATCAACCTGCAGTGTCTTATGAAACATCTGAGAAGAGGGCATAGTTTCCATGCATAGGAATATTTAAATATAATCTGATACACAGACCCAAAGACCTAGACTCCAAGGAAAACCAAATTTAATAATTGTAATAAAATTGCAATAACACAGGCTAATTACTTATAGTCACTTTCTTTCAGGCAGTGTCAAGGGCATAATCGGCCTGATAGGATGAGCTTTTCGGTCAGCTAAGGAAATGAAAGAGAACCTAGTCCTATTCAAGTTATTTATAAAATGTGATATCCTTAAATGTCACCAAGTGTAATTTTTCTTTTTTTTTTTTTAAAGATTTTATTTATTTATTTAATTGCCAGAGAGAGAGAGACAGCAAGAGAGGGAACACAAGCAGGGGGAGTGGGAAAGGGAGAAGCAGGCTTCCCGTGGAGCAGGGAGCCCGATGTGGGGCTTGATCCCAGGACCCTGGGATCATGACCCAAGCCGAAGGCAGTCGCCTAACCAACTCAGCCACCCAGGCACCCCAACAAGTGTAATTTTTCTGTTGAGAGCCTACTACACAACCTATAAGGGCTGATCTCAAAATATTTTTTGTTGATTGGAAATGACTATTCAAACTTGATACTCAGAGAGCATTTAATGGAAGTTGTCAAAGGAAGGGGCTCTTTGATCTCTACACTGGAAGATACTGAACATTCTGGCTTTTCGGTGAGTATGACTAGTTATCTTACTGTCTTAAAAGGGTCTTACTATCCCCCAAGATAAAAGAGAAAGACAGGCTATCATAAATTAATAATGAGATGCCTTCTGTTTGGGAGGTTTTGAATGCCTCAAAGGTGAGGATTGTGTCAGAAAGAAGTGGACATGGGTAAAAATTTCCCTCACTATGGTTTCAATCTGATAGTAAACCCTGTGCCTTATTTATTCCCCAAATTTCTGTACTCATTGGGTGGTGTGATGGTTAATTTTATGTGTCAGCTAGATTAAATAATATTTCTGGGTGTGTCTGTGAGTGTGTTTCCAGATGAGATTAGCATTTGAATCAGTGGAATTAGTAAAGCAGACCACCCTACCCAGTGTGGGTGGGCATCGTCCAATCCCTTGAAGTCCTGCATAGAAACATATGCAGAGGAAGAAGGAATTCCCCACTTTTTTCCTGCCTCACTGATTAAGCTGGGATATCACATCTTATCTTCTCCTCCCCTTGCATTGGGATTTACGTCATTGACTCCCCTGGTTCTCACACCTTCATATTTGGACTGACTGAATTACACCAGTGGCTTTCTTGGGTCTCCAGCTGGTCGATGGCAGACTGTGGGACTTACTGGCCTCCATTATTGCATGAGCCAATTCCTCATAATAACTCCCTTTTTATCTATCTATCTCTCTCTCTATCTATCTATCTATCTATCATCTATCTATTGATATAGATATCTCCATCCTACTGGTTCTGTTGTCTGAAGAACTCTGACTTATGCTGGTGGCTATCCATTCTAAGTATCTAAGGGGACAAAAGCAACTTGTTAAGACCAAGCTAATAAACCTGACCCTATAAAATGACTGTGAGAGCCCTGAGCCTAACTTTTGTACATGAGCAAAGGACCTCAATGGAGACTGTTGACCCTGCTTTTGTAGACACTTACAGAGTAAAATCTGTCTCACAGCTTTCTGGCAGACGACAGCACCCCGAACCCACTGCCAGCATGTTCACTGGTATGGCTCGGCCACACTGAGGCAGAATTCTTCCTGGGAAATGGGGTAATTCAAGACCCCCTGAGCTCACCCTTAGCAAGAAGCTCATGCTCCTATCAACCAATCAGATTCCTGGCCCAAAGAGAACTTTCTCTTTATTATAACCACAAAGACTTAGGGCAATTGTGGGGAAAAAAAGCAGAAAAAGAAATATTAAAATAGTTTTCTTATTTTCGTTGTCAGGACGTCAGCCTTATTTGTAGCTCAGTGGTGTAATTATTTGAGAATCATGCATTGTCAATTTTAGCTAAATAGACAATGAGGAGTGTACCCTATCCTTCATCCATCTTGATAAATGTTCTCTTCAGGGAAACTTCCTGTCTAAAGACTTCCTTCAGAACCTTTAACTTAAATTTCCTTCCATACTCTGGCAAAAATACAGTATGACATTGCAACTCTGGTATTCATTTGTTAGGTGTTTGATGGATGTCTCGTAAGACACCCACTAATTACACAAATGAATTGACACAAAAGTACAATCTAACCATGGGCAAAGACAACTTACTTGTTCATTTTTAGTAAGCCTGGTTTTGTTGTGAATGTCTGACGTGACCAAATTGAATCCGTGCTTTTCCGACAAGATTCTCAGAAGCAAGACCACAGTACGACTCCCACACTTGCCTACTCTGTTGTACACCACCTGGCTGGGGAAAGGTAGCACCTGGGAAAGAACGAGAGAGCAAATGTGAGACTTTGGGTTAGAGTAACTGGGATTCTTCCCTCAACTTCAGAACAACAAATGTCTAATCAGTCTAAATGAGGAGGGTCCATGACAAGTCAATGGGAGAACAAAAGAAATGAACTCATGTTTTACCTTCATAATTTAACTTGAGAGAAATCCTGGACTTGTTCTCTCTCTCTCTCTGCACTGATACTTAAAACTGGTAAAATTTCAGGTCAACCATGAGACTAATTATGAAGCTTCTTTTGTTTCTTCTTAGGAACAAAATACATAAATATGTGCTTTGATGACAATATGCTTTTGCAAGTTATATTATGCTTTATTAGAACTCAGTTTGTAGAGTGATCATGAACAAAATATAGTAACTAAAAATTGAGACATAAATAAAAACTCACAATAAGACTCACCCTTTCAAAGTGTACAATTCAGTGGTTTTAATGTATTCACAAAGTTGTGCAACCACCACCTCTATCTACTTGCAGAACATTTTCATTACCCCTGAAAGAAACTCCATACCCATTAGCACTCACTTTTCATTACCCTCACTACGTTGGTCCCATGAAACCACTTATCTACTTTCTGTTTCTATGGTTTTCACCTATAGCATTCCGGACATCTCTTATAAATAATATCATATAATATGTGACCTTTTGTGTCTGGCTTCTTTCAGTTAGCATAATGTGTTCAAGATTCATCCATATTGTAGTATGAACCTGTACTTCACTATTTCATATGGCCGAATAATATCACATTGTATGGATATACCATATTTTGTTTATGCATTCATGAGCTGATGGACATTTGGATTGTTTCCAATTTTTGGCTACTCTGAATAATACTGCAGTGAACATCTGTGTGTAAGTTTTTGTGTGGACATTTGTTTTTGAATCACCTTGTATATATCCTAGGAGTGGAATTGCTGGATCATATGGTAATTCTGTTTAATTTTTTGAAGAACTGCCAAACTGCTTTCAATGCAGCTGCACCATTTTATATTTCCACCAGCAATTCATGAGAGTTCCAATTTCTCCACATCCTTGCCAACACTTGTTATTGCCCATTTTTTTTAATAGCCATCCTAATGGATGTGAAGTGGTATCTCATTGTTTTGATTTGCATTTCCCTGATGACTAATGACGTTGAGCATATTTCATGTACTTATTAGACATTTGTATATTTTTTTTGGAGAAATGTCTGTTCAAATCTTTTGCCCATTTTAAAACTGGGTTATTTGTCTCTTTATTATTGAGTTTTAAAAGTGCTATATTTATTCTGGATTTGTGAATATGTGATCTGCAAATATTTTTTCCCATTCTATGCATTTTCTTTTCATTTTCTTGACTGTGTCCTTTGAAGTACAAAAGTGTTTAATTTTGATGAAGTTTAACTTATCTAATTTTTCTTCAGTGTGTTATGTTTTTGGTATTACATCTAAGAAACCATTGCCTAACCCATGAATGTTTTCTCCTAAGAGTTTTATAGTTTTAGTTTTAGTGGAAACATTTAGGTCTGATTCATTTTGAGTTAATTTTGTGTATGATGTGAGCTAGTGATCTAACTTCATTCTTTTGCATGTGAATAACCATTTGTCCTAGCACCATTTATTGAAGACTATTCTTACTCCATTTAATTGTGTGGCACCCTGTTGAAAATCCACTAACCATAAATGTATGAATTTATTTCTCTCAATTCTACCCTACTGAGCTATGTGTTTATTCTTATGCCAGTACCACAGAGTCTTGATTACTTGTGCTTTGTTGTAAGTTTTGAAATTGAAAAGGGTGAATTTTTCCAAACTTTGTTCCTTTTCAATATTGCTTTGGCTATTCTGGATTCCTTGCATCCCATATGAATTTTAGAACCAGGCTGTCAATTTCTGTAAAAAAAAAGACAGTTGAAATTTTGATAGGGATTGTGCTGAAACTGTAGATCAGTCTGGGGACTAGTGCTATCTTAATAATGTTAAGTTTTCTAATCCATGAACATGGGATGTCTTTCCACTTATTTAGTTCTCATTTCATTTGTTTCACAATCTTTTGTAGTTTTCAGTATACAAGCCTCACTCCTTTTACTCTTTCTGATGCTATTTTAAATGGAATTGTTCTCTTAATTTCATTTTTGGATTGACAGTTCACTGAAAGAACCATTTTATTTTTGTATATCAATCATATGTTCTTCAGTCTTGCTGAACTCACTTATTAGCTCTTAATAGCTTTTTTGTGTGGATTCTTTAGGAATTTCTATATACAAGATCATGTCATCTGCAGAGATAGTTTTACTTCTTCCTTCCCAATATGGATGCCCTTTCTCTCTTTTTCTTTTCTAATTGTCCAGTTTATAATGATTTTGATAGACTAAGAAGCCATTATGAAAAGCATCTGATTAAATATTTATATCCCCAATAAAGAAAATATTTCCATCTCGAATGCTCAGCATTGAGTAACAATTGACAAAAGATCATCAAGAGTCCTTCATTCAGAACATACCCTATAACAGAAGGCCTTAAAAAGGCCTAAAGCTATAGCACAATATAAGCATAAATATACCCCTAACTTGCCTACTGTATGTAATATGAATTTTGCCTTTGTAATTACAGGTTTACTTATTTTTCTGAAATATTTTATACGCAGAGTAGCACTTCATAAATTTGGAACTTAAAGGCTACTTGCCATTCGAGTCAAACATAATATCTGTATCACTCACTTAGCAACTATATCATGTACCATTTTGATATAATTTTCCAGTATATATATATTTTTTAATGAGCAATACCTTGATTTTTTTTAGGACCAGTCAGTATCTTCTATTGTGTATCCTCATACTGCCTAGAACATGCCATATACCTATATATAGGGCCTCAACAAACATTGATTGGTTGGCTGCAATGAGGGATTTAATGTGGTGTTTAACAGCAATTAACACAATGATTCTGCTAAAATATGAGACCAGGAGAATCTTCAAATACAGCTGATCTTTCTAACCAAATGCTAACAAAAGGCATAAAAACGGTAAAAAGATAATCATTATAATAGGTCATTTTACTTCTGGTCTTATCAGTGAGTACCCAAAAAGTGTGATCACTGGCAACAGCTGCAGAAGTTCAGATATTCAGATAAATCATATATGGTCTTCCTCATGAGGTTATGATCCAGGGAGGTTGAAATAGAATAGGATATTAACAGTGTTTATAAGTTGGACTTTCCATAATAACCAGGCTGGGGGATAGACTATAATTGTGACAAAGCTGCCAATATAAACACAAATTTTCATTTCTTTGAAGAAATAAACTGCTTAAGAATTGGGATGAATGCATTTTTCCTTGTCTTCTAACACAGCATAGTACAGCAAGGGAGAATTGTTTGTTACATCTGAATTGCTGACCAAGAAGAGGTTAGTTACCACATATGCAAGTGTTTTATTCCAAGAGTACAGGTGTATCTTAGAAGATTTAAATGAAGAACTGAGGCACTTAGTTACAAACCTTCAGTGAAAACACTTAAGGTCTCCTGAAATTTTTTAGTAATTAACACAATAGCAGGCTTTTCATCTATTTCCTTTTGCTAATAACTAAAGATATTATCTATCTTTCAGTGGTTAGTTAGTTCAAAAGAAATGTTCATGGGGTGCCAGTTAGTTAAGCATTTGCCTTCAGCTCAGGTCATGATCTCAGGGTCCTGGGATTGAGCCCTGCATCAGGCTCCCTGCTCAGCGGGGAGTCTGCTTCTCCCTCTCCCTCTAACCCTCCCCCTGCTCAGCTAGCTCTCTCTCAAATGAATAAATTAAAAAAATCTTAAAAAAGTGTTCATTCCAATTCTTTCATTAGTCTTGCGGGAGGCTACCAAATAACAGTATTTGTTATTTAAGAGGAACACTTTTGTCATGACAAGAAAAAAATGTTTTAACTATGTATGGTGACACAGATTTAACTACACTTACTGCGGTGATCATTTTGCAATGTATACAGATATCAAATCATTATTCTGTATACCTGAAACTAATATAATATTATATGTCAATCAGACCTTGGTTTAAAAAAAAAAAGAACACTTACATAAAACCAAAAATCCCTGCATTATTCCCGCAACCGTATCTACAATAACATTTGAAAAGAAAAAAGAGCTTAACATCCCCACTGTGACTCTATTTTTACCATTTCATTAGACACCAATACACAGCTACAGGGTATGAAAATTGAGCTAGAAAATGTGTTTTTGGATAAAGCTGGAATCAGTCTGGTGATTGTTAAAGACACAACATATACCATCACAAACAAACCTTTCTCAAAGTTAGGATGGGGCTTTTAAATCATTTTCTAAAAGTACCTATGTAATTCTCTGGAAACTGGCAAACTTAGGCAGGCTAAATCAATGTGTTGATGTTGGATAAGGTGTTAAAATTAGCAACAGCAACAAGTTGATTCATCTCCGCTTTGGTAGAGCTATAGATCAGCTGCTGAAGGCCTGCTTTAAAATCATTGTCGGTTTTTATTTGAAGTGTTCTTTCTGGAAAAGAGGCGGGGGGAAAGGAACTGATTTTATGAAAGGCTGACCTTGACCCTGTCCTAGGCTCTGTGCCATGTAAGGTTTTAATCCTTGTTACCAATACTGAGTTGAACAGGGTGTCCTGCTTCTAGCTGTGCCTTTCTCTAGGAGGTTAAATTATCAAATAATTTAAGCATCATTAATTGCACCTAAGTGACTCCCCCATGTGGCCCCCTCTTCTCCATAGATGACAGACTCACAGAACAACAGAGTTTGAGGTCTAAAGCAATTTAGAATAACCCACCCACTTCAATCCCCTCCCCACCCCAGCACTACTACTCTCTATCACCCTCACTCCCAGCCCAATTGTGTTTGGCTTGGCTAGAGTTTTCTCTTATGTTGTGTTTTCATCCTCTTGAGTACCCTGTGAGGGAGATATCATGACTATTTTTAGGTGAACAAACCAAAGCTCAGAGAGATCATTTGGCATTTTCAAGG